TGGTCAAATGGCTCTTCAGCTCCCATCTGAAAAAAATTGTATTTTTTAAATCTTTATTTTTCACATATGTAACACAATATTTAATATGATTTTATTTATATTTACCTCAAACTGTTGTAGTAGATCATGAAATTTTTGTGGAACTACCATATCTACTGCACCTATATTTGATTGAATGTTAGCTGTATCTTCATTCAATGTACTACTTTCTATTATCTCCTGTGTAAGGGTTTGGCAATCATCTAGTTCTAATAAATTATTTTCTGAGCTCTCTTCTGCATTGGTGTTATTGGTAAATATAACATTGGAATGTTTACCAAGTATATACCACCGTAAACTAAAGAAAATGTAAAGAAAATTATGTTATAAAGTTCATTAGCTATACATAAATCACATTAATGTTCAAAGTTTAATACCAGTATTTAAAATCTAGTGCTGTTATGTTATTACTTGCACTACCACTCATCCCTTTTATAAAACTAAATAGATTTTCCAACACATCCTGGTTTAACTTTCGAGTTAGTACATAATCAAGCCCGTGATACTTTTGAAGATCAGTAAATAAATTTTTCAGGGATGAATTGCATATTAAAATTCCTTTATTAAAAAAAGTTCATACAAATAAGCAGAAATATTAATGAATCAATAATAATATAAAATGAATATGTAATCAGTTTACCTTTCTGGAAAGGTAACATATTTTTTTCTTTTCCTCCACATTTCATACTATGTACTCTCATGTTTTGTATGAAACTACTCATTTCATCTAGGAGAGCATTTTGACTTGACACATTCAAGCCATAGCTTTCCACACCTTGATCAAATTTTTGGTTAGTATTAAAAAGATCAAACCATTTGTTGAACAATGATATCATTTCAGATGCCTATTTTGTAAATAAATATATGTGAATGTTAACAGTTTGTCATTTAATATTAATTATATTGAATATTATGTATAATTTTGTTTATTGTTATTTAATTTCAACTTACATTTTTCCAATTGTACTTTTCAATATATTTTTTTTCACCATAGTAGGCAATTGCTTTAGACACTGAATCAGAAAGTAACTGTACTGCTAGCCTGACATTCATACGCCCTGGTCCATTTACTAAAATATGCCTTTCAGAAACTTTATGTGCCAATCTATAGTCATGTTGAGAATCTAAATTGATTAGCTCTTGAAATATATTCTTCCCAACATATGTGCCATTTGGTAGTATGAATCCTCTATAAATATTGAACTATATGTCATAAAAACATAATTTGCCAACCATAAATACATACTTATCAAGTAAATGATTTCTTGACAATTTTATGAGGTGTGGCACATCTGCAAATACATGTATTTGTTTTTTATTACACGGATGCTCAAAAGAAGTATTTCCTATTGCAATGTTTAAATCTTTCCATAAACACATATTTGTTGGGCCCATATCATTTACCATAGCAATTGTTTCATATCCAACATAGTACAACTCTTTTATGATTTTGAGCAAAAGCTCTTTTGTCATAGCCGTATCAAAGCTATAGTAAATTGGTTGTTTCCAATTATTAACAAGACCTTTAAGAAATAATACATAATATTTTACAATGAATTAATTATTATTATAGAGGTATATATATTTTTTTAAATATTATCAAGGTATAAATTTTTTTTTTGTAGGTACCTCGAGCAATAACCGTCTGTACACATTTATAAGGACCTAAAACTTGTTCATTCTGCTTGTCAAAACAAATCCTGCTTGAAATATATGTTTCATCAAAACTCAAAACTGTTAGTTTTTCAGTTGGACTCATTAATTCACCTTGGATAAAAATTTCATTAAAAATTACTATTTTCTTTATACTTCTATGTATATTTAAATTGCAAGTAATTTTTTTCTTTTTACCTTTAGATTTCATTAGTGAAAATACCTGAGTTAATAACCCAGGACTAATGGAACATGTTGAGGCCCATGTTCGAAGTGTTGACAAAGCTTAACAATTAAAATGTATGTTAAAAGTTGTTTAAAAATATTAAATGGTTTTACGTTGTTTTTAATTAACCTGGTAAGGGCATATTTTTCTTTGTTCTTAAGAAGCGGTACATTTTGGGAGATATACTTCTCAATGTGATTGCAGAACATATATCTTCCGTGGTCCACTTGGGAACTGTTTTTTTTTGATGCAATAGTAGATGGATTTGGGTGGGTGTGAATATTGTTGATAATATAGTACTAAATCGATTTTCAAATCGTTGTTCCTCTAAATTGACAAAGTTTTCATACCATTTTATCTTTTCTTTTTGAAGGAAAATAATATTTTTATACCCAGCTAGTCTCTCATTTAGATTTTTATTTTCTTCAGTAAGTTTTTGAAAATAAGTTTTTAATCTAGAAATTTTGGTTTAAAAACCACCGTAAAATTTATAACTCTGACCAAATACAAATAATAAGAAATATTTAAACTTAAACACAAAATTATCTTTACACAAAAATCAATTGTTTATTAATAAGGTACTAAATAATGTGAAACAAAAAAGCATTAAACAATTATACATGTTAATATAACAAAAAATAAATAAAACAACTTGTATAACACACTTTACCACATACTATAATATCTACTTAATAATAATAATACTTCTATATACACTTTAAGTTTTAATGATTATGATAATTGATAATAAATATGTACTAAAGTAACATAAAAAATTAAGTTATTAACTAAGTTTACAATATAAACAAATAAAGCAATAATTAAGTAGTGACAGTTACAAATGTTAAATTTTAACTACAGAACATTAAGGTAAATATTAAAATGCTTAAATGTATTAATGTTTTCTAATAACAATTTTTGTTTTACATTATATTTTGTATTTTAAACTTGTTTGTATGATTATATGTTTTCTTTGAATGCAATAAATATTTTGTAATTAATATTATTATTAAAAACCTGTTCTTGATGTAATAGGTGTTTTTTTTTTACAAACCTAAACAAATCAAGAACATAAGTTTTCAATGATAGATAAAATGTAAAGGTATTGATAAAGTCCTTTGGTTCTCATTTTTGTACACACAAAATTTGATGGTTGCAGAATGTAAAACACTAAAACAAAAATAGTAGGTAGTTGAACACCATTATATAATATAAGAACACGTATACACAAAAGGCACAGAAGAATATTAATTTTATTAAATAGTATACATTTCATAAGTAATAGTATGCGATAGCTTTAACGTTACTTATGATATGGTTCATCGGTTGGCGTTACTACAGTATTTTCACTTAAAGGACCTACTTCCAAGTCATTACATAAATCATCAAAAAGTTTTGAACGGACTGAGATAACATCATTGTGATGATTTCTAACATGAAATAGTTAAAAAACACAGTTAAATTTTTAAGAAGTTTAATAATAGTTTTTATACTTACACTTCTACTTCAGATTGTGTTACTTTAAAATAACCACTAGGGGTTTTTATTACAGCAGGTGAACCTTTTATAGGTGGAGTTCCTAAACTTTCCAAAAGTGTATATGGTATATCATCATAATGTAATCCATGTTTTCTAAAATAAGTTAAAAGCCTAATTAACATATGAAAATGAAGGCCAAAAATAAGACTTACGTCAACGGTATAGCATCCAGTTTTAGTCTTCTTAGGCATTTCGGAGAGTATGATGCAACTTTTTGTGCATATGATTTTTCTGCCAGACAGTCTGGTGAAAAATGAAGTGAACACACAACACCTAGAAAAAATTAAGTTTATAGTGGAAAACTTGAATACTATATGCTTGGATGTCTGCATAATATTAATATCATATTTAATGAATTACAAATTATTTCAATAATAGCACTAACCTGTTTCACAATTAATATTAGTAACCTCACTGTTTCTGACTATTTGTTTCACCCATAATTGTCGAAGAATTGGGTCATTTGGAAACCTATGCAGGTGGATGTTCGGGTCTCTGGTTTTATCTTTTCTTCTACTGCCACTAAAACACCCTTCATATACACAAACTGGCATTGTGTAATTATAAATACAATAAATAGTTCAATAGTTATATAATAGTAAATACTAAATGAAAGTGGAAAATCTTTTAAAAATTCAAATTGACATGAAAATATGAAATTATTTATCATTATCATCGTTTACATTATAAACAAGTTATCAATAGCAAATATGTGATAAGCGGAGCAAGCCGGACGCCATGTTTGCGCAGTATCACGTAGTACTCGTAACCTTGCTGTCATACCTGTTTTATTTGTCATGGTTGCACGCGTAAATTTTTCGTGACACGTCCTCTTAAGTAATTCTTTTGTCATAGCAGTATCATAGTTATAGAATATTATCGGTCGTTTCCAATTGTTCAATAAACCTTTAGGTTAATTCATTTTATTCAAGTAAATTGAATAGAAATGTAACATGATTAATTAATTTGCTTACTCTAGCTTTAACGGTTTGAACACATCTATGTGGCCCATATACTTTTTCAAATTTTTTGTCGTAACAAATTCTGTGTGAAATATGTCTCATCAAAAGAAATTACTGTTAATTTTTCCTCCACAGTAAAGAAATCACCTTTTATATGAACAAAAAAAAATTAGAGTTGATATTATTTAAAAGTCTAAAACTGTTACATCTTCATTACACTTTTTATTATACCTTTGGGTTTCAGAAGTTGTAATACATTAGTTAAAATACCAGGTTGAATTGTGAATGCAGAAGCCCATGTCCTTAATGTGGACATACCTATTGGTAATTTTTGTTTTTATACAAATCTACAGATTCCATCAGCCTAAATAAAAATAAACATGATTATTTCATTTAAGAATTAACAAAAGCATCAAGTTTCTAAATTACTTCTGAATCGAATCATTATCTGAATCATCAACTAACGGTTAAACCCCTAGTTCAGCGTTGACAAAATCCAATGTTTTTGAAACATTTTGATGTTTATTATTAGTTTCTTTAAGCATTATACAAATATTATATTACTGTTGAATTTAATTGCTATTTAAATGCACATAAAAATTATAAGAATATTTCAATAAACAAAATATTTATAGGAAACTTACACATCAAATACTCCAGCAGGTGTTACTATTTTAGGTGGATAAATTTTGTTTACTGGTGTAGAAGGGTTCACTGGTCTTATGAAAAGTATATCATAATAGTCTGTACCATAAATACTATTAAACAAAACATTGGTATAAAATAAATCTAAAAAAATAAAACCTGAATGTTATTTACCTCAAAGGAATTGCATCATCTCTAAGTTTTTGCATACGCTAAGGTGAATATTTCAATAATTTCTGTATCATTGGCTTATCGGCAATATGGTATGGAGCAAAATGCAATGAACAAACAACGGCTAGATGAATTTTAATAAGTAAATGTAAGTGAAAATAACAATACATGTAACGTGAATAATGTTAATGTCTATTTCATATGAATAGATGATGTTACCAGTTTTAAGATTTACAGATTTTGCATTAATAGATTGATCGTATTCAATTTGTTGCAACCACTTAAGACACAAATTTATATCTTTTGAGAACCTATGCAGATGTACTGCAAGGTTCGTCTGATTTTTTCCTTTCTTCCTACTACCACTATCACAATTTTCAAAAACGCACTTCGGCATTATTGCTAACTTTCAAATACTTATAGGCACAGAGTATTTTCTAATGAATTTAAACAAATGTATGTCACTTAAGTTTGCTATTGGTAACTAAAGTATATCTGTGAGTTATTCTTTACATCAAATGGTGTTATATAAGTATTAATTTATTAAAAACCCCTATCTGGAACTACTTTTGTATCTGAGTATATTATAGCGATAATTAAATTAATTACATTTAATTAACTTAATCTTAACTCTTTGAAGCATGACGGGTCAAAATATAACCCACCAAATTATAAACCTTTGCTGCATGGTGGTACGCAAAATAACCCACCATTTTAATAATATTGTCTGCCTTTTCTTAAAAATTTAATAAGAAATAAGCTAATGTTATGTTATAAATACTTGTTAGTAGTGTGTGTAATTTTATACTAGACATTTTACTGAGAATTGCCTTACTTTTTTTCATTTTGAATATTGTGTCCATGATAAAGTATATTATATTTTATTTATGGTTTTTAATTTATCATGAATTATACAAAAATAGGTTTATTTTAGTGGCGTTCACTTGTATGTGCTATAAAACTAGTATTATTTATATTGGTGATGGAAACATTATTATTTACAAACCATTTTAGACAAAATATTGAAAATAATCGGTGTACAAATTATAACCCACCGTGCTTGTAGTGACGGAAATAGTCGGTATACTATAATCATCGAGTATATTTGAATATTTATTATTTTTAATCCCTAAATTAATTGTACAAAAATTCAAGTGTCTAATCATACCCAAAATACTGACGAATTCAATTTCATACGATCGACATGGTCAAAAAAAAGGAATTTTTAATGGAACCAATATCCGATTTTATTGAAACAACAGGCCCTAGTGATTTAATCGACAAAGAACAAGATCATACAACATTTTCAGTTTTCAAACTCTTATTTTCCGATGAAATTATTAATTTAGTAGTACGACAAACTAATTTATACGCCCAGCAACGGTACATGAAAAACGGAAAATTGTACATGAAAACTGCCAATCAAGAAATTATGACATTTCTAGGTTAAATATATTGATGGGTATAAAAAGATCACCCAGCTATAGAGATTATTGGTCATCAGCACCAGACCTTCACGACAGTTATATAAGTCAATTAGTAAATCGTTTTGGTTGGTTGGTGCCTACTATACACTTAAATGATAACAAAATGATACCTAAAAAAAATGAAATAGGATATGATAAACTTTATAAAGTTCGGCCATATTTAACAGTTTTAAAATATAATTTTCAAAAGTATTATAATCCTAACAAAATAATTGCGGTCGACGAATCAATGATCAAATTTAAAGGACGATCTACATTGAAACAATATATGCTGAAAAAGACCATTAAAAGGGGATACAAGGTTTGGTTACTTGCAGATAAAAAGGGGTACATATGGAATTTTGAAATATATTCAGGTAAAGTTGGTGAAAATGTGGAAAAAAATTTAGGCGGTCGTGTTGTAAAAGATTTATCGTTTCCATTACAGAACAAAAACCATCATCTTTATATCGATAATTTTTTTAAGAGTTTGCCCCTCCTATCATATTTGAAAACCAAAGGAATAAATGCATGTGGAACAATAAATTTAACAAAAAAATATTTACCAAAATTATGTCCAGATAAAAATATGAAACTGGGTGATTATGACTGGCAAATAACAGCTGATCAAGATAATATTTCTATAGTAAAATGGAAAGAAAAACGAATCGTTAGTTTATTATCTAATTTTCATGATCCACAAAATGTAACTCAGGTACAAAGGAAATCCAAAGATGGTTCTGCAACTATGGTTAAATGCCCTAAAGTTCTGCAAGACTATAATAATAATATGAACTGCGTCGACAAGTTTGATCAGAATAAAAAATCTTACCAAATTGACAGAAAAAGTCATAAGTGGTGACATCGAATTTTTTTTTATTTTATCGATGCTTCAATAGTTAATGCCCATGTTATTTATAAAGAGCTGTGTACAGAAAAAATGTCATTAAAACAATTTAAACGTGACATTTCAAGAGAATTTGTATCGAAAACGTTAGTGCAAAAACGACGTATGACTGTAGAGCCATCGTTCGAGTCATCCAGTTAGTATTAAAAAAGGAAAACCAACAGTTTCACCATTAATAAGAATGGAACAATCTGCACACCGACCTACAAGATCAACAAGAAGAAGATATACACTTTGCAGCACAAAAGATAATGAAACTCGAACAAATTGGAAATGTTCAATTTGTGATGTTCCGTTATGCTTAGGAAAAAACAAGACTTGCTTTGTACAATACCACAGTAGTTGAAGGTAAATCATTAAATTATGTAAACGCTTACCTATCACTAATAAAATTATTTTGTGTTTCAGAAATTATTATTCATTCCTGCATATAATTTATTGACCAGTGACAGATGCGACTACCGATAGTGCACCACGGGACATTTTTTAACCCACCACTTATACTTAAGTACAAATTGTATTTTTTTTTTTTTCAAAGTAATTCTATGTTAGATAACTAATAAAAAGTCATTATTAGCAAAACTAATTGTATATACCTAAAATATATTATTGTGTGCAAAATGGGTTTTTTTTTGTGACATTTATGTTGTGCATCAAAGAGTTTTAAGCATAATAAAAGACATTATACTTTTTAGATACTTAAATATCATTCTTAAAAATTAAATACTTAATGATAATAAAATAAGTATAATTCCATCTTGTTCATTTGATATTTATTAAATTACAATGTAAATCATTTACATTATAATTTATTATTTAATGATATTGAATTATATGTAATGTCTTATACTCTGTTTATAACTGTCAAGATGTCAAAATTAAAAACCAGATAATAAATCAACGAAATTTAAATCGAATGACATACAGTTATAATGATTGTCATACATTAATATAGATGCTCATTTTCAATTAATAATAATTACAAAGGAACACATGAATGTTTATTGTTTATTACTTATTTACGAATACATATATTTTTTTTTTTAATCGGTTTTTTTTCCGATGTGCCACTTGATGACGATCTAAACCGGTCACTAATGTTTTACATATTTAAAATATAAGGAAACACACCCACTGACATTGATATTATGTCTCTGAAAAGAACTTAAGTTGGCGCAGAGATCTGATTTGATTCCGTTAATGTCACGGAAGGCTCTTCGGAAGATTCTTCTTGATATAGGCACACCTAGAGACATTTTTCTGTGAGGGAGGTCTAAAATTGTATCAGCAGCACACACCCTGATACCTAATGCTCAGCATACCCAAGCCCCCCCTCTAATTGCGCCTTTGTTCTACTTCGTCATTACCTTAGATACCTACATGAATTTTATCTTACATGATAATCAGCGGAAACCTAAGTAATAATAATAAGCTATTTATTTTAATTTTATATTTTTCGTAGTCATTACACATCAGCAAACATGCATCTTATATTAATAAAAATAATTAATTCGTAATATATGATATTATTGTGTAACATGTGCTTACAAGCACCAAAATTGTTAAAGTTCATTATATCGCGAAAGCTTTAACTAAAAAAACTTCGTTTTATCGAGAGGATCAAAATACATATAATTATTCGTTATACCTCGAGATTTTTAAGGGAATGAGTGAATGACAGTTTTACTAATTATATCGATCCCCAAGCACCAACTGAAATTCACTTTTCTACTAGAAAAATGGCTAAAAATAGGAAACTGAAGCATTTTTGGTGCCCCAAAATGTGCGGACGACAAAAAAAAATTTAAAAAATAACATCATTGTAAAATCAATACATTCATCGCTCCGCTCAGGAATTAACACGTTTTAAAAATAAAATAGTCATATTAATATTTTATAATGAGCGTTTAAAGTTGAAATTGTTGTTGGTCATATTGTGATAAAAATAAAAAAAAAATCAAATAGTGGTAAAAAAAGTCCGAACTTTTTACCGTTAACTTTTTAACTACAGAATTTTTACTCGGACGTTTTGGTTGTCTACCTGTAAAATCATGTACTGTGTTGGTGGTGTGGGTAAAATGCCCGAGTTGTCATTAAAGATTTCAAATATATTAAATATAATATGATACTACTAAGTAGTAAGTACTATATCATGTAAATCGTATATGAATATTTATATTATGATGCAAGTTTATAGAAGAATATTGGTCATACCATGATGAATAAAATAATAAAATAATAAAATAATTATAATATTATTATTGTAATAAAACAATTATTATAATTTATAATTATATAATTTATCATGGGTCATCCTAAGCAGATGAGATGGACCATGGGAGCACGATCGCAGAATCGTAGCGGCTGTGGCTGATCGGTGTAGGCGGTGGCGGCGGCGGCGGCGGCAACGGACCAATGAGAAACGGAGAAATGCTTACGTCACAGTACAATGCTGGGAGGAGGGTGTGTGCGCGATTAGTCTAAGAACCGGTAAATTGCTGACATACCTATTTAATTTATCATGTATAGCCCGATGTGCAACCATTCTATCTAAAGCCGTGGACCGACGTTGGAAATTACAGTCCCGCAAGGAGCAGCACTAGACGAGAAAAATTGCCGATTTACACCGTGTAAACATGCTCAAAGATTAGCTCATTAGATTCAAAGATACACACACAAGAATAGTTTTAGGACAAAAACACCTATGAACAAAATTAAAGATAAATATATTGTTGAGGGCCCCACGTAGCTATTTTGCTGTATTCAAAATATACAGTGTGATCACGATTTATGGTAACACTAAATATCTCAGGTGCATGACCTTGTATTGAACTGGGGTTTTCGGGAAGTGATAGGGAGCACTTAAATATATATTTTCAGACCAGTTTCAAATTTTTAGCTCACTCGTTACGCGCATGCGCAACACAACTTACTTTTTTTTAAATGGCAACCCCAGTTTTTTTCTGCAGATTCAGGTAGAGTATTTTTTTTAAGCATTTTTTGTATCAACAGTTTTTTTCTATTTTCAAAACTGACCAAGTTAGAGTAAGTCAAAATTTAGATTTATGCATAATTCGTATTTAGTGAAATTTTTATTTATAACCACTGGAAATAATAAAATAAGTGCCAAATAAATGTTTAATTTACTTTATCTGTTTACAAATAATAATTTAATAATACTGTTGGTCAATATGTAGAGTATGTGATTATATTTGTTTAGTAAACTCCTATAATACGATTACAATTTTAACTATTTGTGTAGTGGAATTTTGTTTTATTTTACAATAGCTCAAATAACGATAAGACAATCAGATAATGTAACTATTAAGGTATTTAGTTTGATGAAAAATATAATTTTACTTTTATTCTGTAACTAGACCTGTACTAAAGTGTGAGCGTTACCTGTGTATGTCTAGTTATTAAGTACTCTTATAAATTATACGTTTTTAAATATGAATAACGCTGAAAAAGTTGAGTTGGTTTTAATTTATGGTGAATGTCAGCGTAATGTACGCCTAGCCGCTGCGACATATGTCGAACGATACCCAGAAAGATACCATCCACCATTTAATTATGTTTTACGACTTTTACAAGGGTTAAATCAGGAAGGAAGATATCCTGGCAGACAAATGAACCAACAAAGGCGAAGAGCAAATATGTTTGATGACGATACAGAATTACAGGTACTAGCATACATAAGAACTAATCCACGTTCGTCAATTAGGCATGTTGCTCGCGAAATTGGAGTTTCATATGGTTATGTCCAAAAAATTCTAAAAAAAAACAAAATGCACCCATATAAAATAGATTTTGTTCAACATTTGCGCGCAGGAGATTCTATTCGTAGATTGGAATTTATAGCTTGGTTCAATATTAAATTATATGATAATCCTATGATTGTTAATCATATTCTTTGGAGTGATGAGTCAAAATTCACTAACAATGGCATTATGAATAAACAAAACCATCGATACTGGGATGACACAAACCCACACTGGTCACGTGAAACTAATTTTCAAACGGTCTGGGGAATTAATGTATGGTGTGGGTTAGTTGGTGGAAAGCTAATAGGACCGTTCTTTTATGATAGTACACTTAATGGCAGACGGTACCTTAATTTTTTAACCAATGAACTACCAAGACTGTTGGATGATGTTTCATTAGACACACGAGAACGTATGTTTTTCCAGCAAGATGGAGCACCAGCACACAATGCAATTATTGTTAGACGACATTTAGATCAAATATTTCCGAATCGCTGGATTGGAACTTTTGGCGTCATTCCTTGGCCCGCCCGATCCCCAGATTTAACGCCATTGGATTTCTTTTTATGGGGTTATTTGAAGACTGTGGTTTATGCAGTTCCACCTGTCAATCTTCAGGACTTAAAAAACAAAATACAAGCAGCATGTGATATTTTAAGTGAAGAACAAATCAAGGCGGCAACTTCGACTGAATTTTTGAGGCGACTTGAATCATGTTTAGAACATAATGGCGAAAATTTTGAACAATTCATAAGATAAATGTATTTAATACATTTTATTTTTTATTTAATATTAATATTAGGTACTATTAAATTGTAATTGTATTATAAGAGTTTACTAAACATATTGTAAAAATAAATTATTATTTGTAAACAGATAAAGTAAATTAAACATTTATTTGGCACTTATTTTATTATTTCCAGTGGTTATAAATAGAAATTTCATTAAATACGAATTATGCATAAATCTAAATTTTGACTTACTCAAACTTGGTCAGTTTTGAAAATAGAAAAAAACTGTTGATACAAAAAATACTCTACCTGAATCTGCAGAAAAAAACTGGGGTTGCCATTTAAAAAAAAATAAGTTGTATTGCGCATGCGCGTACCGAGTGAGCTAAAAATTGAAACTGGTCTGAAAATATGTATTTAAGTGCTCCCTATCACTTCCCGAAAACCCCAGTTCAATACA